AAACTCCACACAGACAGACAGTCTCCAGAGGGTGGAATCAAATCTGGCTTCCTGGTGCTGAGAGGCAGCAGTGCTAACCACTGAGCTACCATGCCACCCTAATTAATTCTCCCCAATTAATTTTAATAGACCTCTAATTGCATGACTATAAAATTAATTCAAATGAACTAAACCCAGTAGATTCATTTGAAGAAGAAATCTATTCCTGTGTCCCAGTCCTGTGGGTATTCATGACAGTATGCCTTAATCATGATTTTAAATGGCTACTGATACCCATCCAAAGCTCCCTGTCTTTGCAAATGGTTGCAGCTGACTTCAAATGTTTTTTGTATATACCCAACCTAATGATTTCATGGAAAACTTCCAACATTCTGAACAAATGTGTCCCGTCTTGTTACAATGGTAACACATTGACGACTGATTTTCAACTCACAATGCTGTTCCTTCAGAATTGAGGCAGTGACCTTGGGGCACTCCCAGCTATCTAGATCTTACCATGGCTACTCGCCTTTCCTTCACTATCATTTCTTTAAAAAAAAAAATCTCTCATGATTTGATGAGGATGACAGAAAAAAGGTTTTATACAGTCACGTGGTATAGCAACAGGCCTATCATGTCGATGCCGACCAACAAACACCAAACTACACTAATGCTGTTTACCTGTGCTTTGTCCATGGCCTATTATACCTTATTTTAAATGCTCACCCAGCTGTTTCTTAAATGTTGCAAGAGTACCTGAATCCATCACCCTCTCAGTGCTTTTTTCCCCCCTCAGATGTCCTCTTAAACCGCTTGCTCCTCACATTGACCTTTTGCCCGCTGGTCTTAAACAGATCTGCCATGGTGGGGGTGAAGAAAGAGATTCTCACAACCTACTGTTTATGTCTTTCAATTTTGCATATCTCAGATTTTCCCTTCTGCTCCAAGGAAAACAAACCCAGCCTATCCAATCTCTCCTTACAAATGAGACTTTTCAATCCTGCTGAATCTGCTCTGCACCTTCTCTAATGCAATCATATCCTTCCAATAGGGTGGTGACCAGAATTGACAGTATTCCATCTGCAGCCTAATCAATGTTTCATATAGGAGCAGGGAGGTCTTGTTACAACTTTATTCAATGCCGTGGCTAACGAAGGCAAACATCCATATGCTGCCTTCACCACCATGTCTATCTGTGCTGACACCTTCAGGGATCTATAGACTTGTATACCAAGGTCCATTTGTTCCACTGTACTCTCTAGGGACCTACCATTCATTATGTATATTCTTGCCTTATTAAACCTCCCAAAATGCATCATTTCGCACTTATCAGGATTAAATTCCATCTGCCATTGCTCTGCCCAATTTTTCAGCTGATCAGTAGCAGACTGCAGCTTGGGACCACCCTCCACACTATCAATGTCACCAATTTTCATGTAATTTGCAAACTTACTAGTTATACTTTATATTTTCATGTCCAAGTTGTTAACGTACATAAACAGTAAGGATTCCAGCATCAATCCCTGTGGTACCCTGCTGATCACAGTTCTAAATCACAAAAGTATCCCTCCACTATCACTCTTTGCTTCCTGTTTGCAAACCAATTTTGAATCCAGTCTGCCAGTTTGCCAACTTGCCTTGGATTCCATGGACTCTTACCTTCTGGAACAGCCTTCCATGTGGGACCTTGTCAAAGGCCTTCTTGAAGTCCAGGTAAACAACATCAAATGCACTACCCTCATCAATACATTGTCACCCTTTCAAAAAAAAAAAAAAAAAAAAAAAAAATTCAGTTAATCATGCAGGATCTCCCTTTAACAAAACTGTGTTGACTATCCCCTGATCAATCCCCGGCTTTCTAAACGTGATTAATCCTGTCCTTCAGAATTTTTTCCCAATAATTTCCCTACCATTGACATCAGACTAACTGTTCTATAATTACCTTGCCTATCCTTGCTGCCCTTCTTGAACAAAGGGACCATATTAGTATCCTCCAGTCATCTATTACTTCACCTCTGGCCAGTGAGATATCAAGTATCTCAATCAGCACTCCAGCAATCTCCTTCCTGCCCACAGCTACCAAGGATACATCTCAACAGCTCTCTGGATTTATACATCTTTATGCCTGCTAAAAACATCAAATACCTCCTTACTAATTGTAAGGGGTTTTAGAACTTCACCATCCCAACCGAAACCCCTAGCCACAATATTTTTCTCTCCTTTGTGAATACAGAGGAGAAGTATTCATTTAATACCTGACCCATGTCTGCAGGTCTCTAATGGGTCCCCCTCTTTCCCAGATAATCCTTTTATTCTCAAATACATTTTTATGAAATGCCTTGGAGTTTTTGATCCTCTCTGCGAGAGATATTTCACAGCCGTTCTTTGCCCTCCTAATTTCTATTTTATGCAGCCCCCTGCGCACACTCAATAAAAACAAGGGAGGCCCTTAAAGTATTGCGCTGTACCTGACATCTACTTCCTTTCTCTTCTTTATAGATTAGCTCAATTGTCAGTCCTTATTGCCCTGCCTGTCTAGTAATAACCCTTTGGTCCTCAATGAGTTCTTATCGTCATAGAACCCCAAAACTGTGGAAAGAAACAGACTATTTGGCCCATCGAGTCCACCCAGACCCAACCCCTACCCTACCCTATTCCTGTATCCATAATCCACCTAGCCTGCACATCCCTGCACACAATAGCCAATGTAACATGGCCAATCCACCTAACTTGTACATTTTTGGACACGAGAGGAAACCCACACAGACACCGGGAGTAGTGTCCAACTCCACAGGCGCTTGAGGTTGGGATCAAACATGTGTCCCTGGTATCGTGAGGCAGCAGTGCTAACCACTGAGCCACTGTGTTGGGGGTGCAGTGGCTCATTGGTTAGCACTGCTGCCTCAGAAACAGGGGCCCAGGTTTGATTATGGAAGGTAGTGAGTTCTTAAAATGCCTCTAAGAATAATTTGTGGTTTCAGCTGCTAATTCTCCTATCCACCTGCCAACACAAAAATTAATGTTTACTGTGACGGTGTCCTTAAATTCCAGAACATTTGTCCATAAGCCTCCAGCACTAATATGCAGCCAATATAATTTTCTTTATAGCGTCATAATCCTCAAGCGAACCAGAAATTGTGTGCTTTACTTGTCAACTTACCCTGCATGCACACAATGTTTAGCCCTCTCTTGCCCAATCCATTTTCTCAGCTGACAAGAATGTCTCCACATCCTTCCCATCAAATTTTGGTAGTGTCTGTGCATACAAATTTCCTGACTGGACTTCAAATTGTGACTCAGATTTTCACCACTAGGGCGTGTATCAGTGTATGATATATCCTGTTTCAAGCTGACATTCATATTCCTCTCACTTTCTCTTGCACATTTAATTATTTTCTCATTCCCTATTTTTCCTGCCATTCCTGTTAGAATTCTCTCATGCTCAAACTCCATAATCACCTAATTATGATCTTTCACTCCTGAGTATCCAGCCTCTCCTGTATTTCCTGTAAACCAAAGTGCCATGCTAGTAATTCAATTATCTGCATGGCAATGCTCCCTCCAGTTTACCCACCAACTCAATATGTCTTTGAAATTCTTAACAGCTGGGGATAACATTGCCACCTGCAGAAAATCCTTTGAAGTTTCTACTGCTGTCTTAGATGTTTCTCAGAACCTGGTGTGTTTTCTCTCACCTTGTGCTACCACCAATACTGCACCCTAAAATTAGTTGCCTCTGCTTCAAATCAAAAGGAAAAAAAAAAAAAAAATCACACCTCATTGGTGAAGCATGGTGAGGGAAAAAAAAATCAAGCCCCACTATTCCCACAGTTGTCATAAAAGTTGAAGTTCTTTCCTTAAAAAAAAAACCAAACAGAATTTGACAATTTAACCCATCTTTAAAGCCAGGCTGGTATAGAGCACAGACCAGGTTTCTGTACTTTACAATAACAAAAGTTAAGTAAATACACAAAGCGTAGGTAAACAATTTTGAACAACTAGCAAACAACTGGGAGTTAGAAACTCCAGACCCCTTAAACTCCTCCATAATACACATTTAAAAAAAAAATGTTATAGCCAAGAGGGGAAGACTAGAAAAGTAATTCCATGGTTCCTGTTTACAGGACCTGCTGAGAAAATTCTTGTGCTGATCAAACTATGCTTCTTAGTCTTTGTTCTCAGAGGCTTTCATTGGTTTGTAGGAGGTACAGGGAACTGGTTCATTATTATATGAATAAAAAGTTCTGACTTGATGGGTGGGAGGGAGGGAGGAAGGAAGGAAAGGAAAGAATTTTCTTTCGGCTTAGAAGTTGGTTTTACTGTTGAGAACAGATGGGCAATCTGATGGCTTCTTCCTATTTTGTTCACAGGGAAGTGCTGGAGAAAGGTCACAGTACCCAAAACATAAAAAACTGTTTTCTCTCCAGACACTGCTAGATTTGTTGCAATTTTGGTTTTTGTTTCAGATTTACTGCATCTGCAGTTCTTTTGTTGCATGTTTTTTTTTGAAAAAGGCCAAAGGAAAAAATAAAGCTAAGCAATTCAGCTACCTGAGAACCACATTTGTTGGCCACAGAAGATGATCTTTGGCATCAGATTCTTGTTGCCAACAAAAGCTGCAGCTGGTCTACAAACTAATTTGCAATTGCTGCTTGAAGAAGCAGTTGTGTCAGTTCACTTGGTTTGAGCGGAGTTTTTTTTTAAAAAAAAAACCACAAACACTTTTTCACTTTGGTCCACAATCAAAAAATACAGAAAAAGAAAAGCTATAGGCTTTACAATTAGAAGATTAGTGAGTGTAGCATGGAACCATTAACTAGTACGGATGGAATACAAAGGTTTGGTTTTGTCTGATAGATGTCAGCAGAACATTGAGAAAAAGTCTGAGTCACATTTTCCATTTGCCGTACGTTCAAACAAGAGCTACTTTCTTACATGAACAGCAAGTAAACACGTACATAGAAATTAAATTTAGTAGGGCACGTGAAGATTTAAAGATCTAGTATATGAAACAAACCAAATTAAACATACTGCAATTTATTTTCAATATACTTTGTAAGAAAGAGACACAAGGTCAATCTGCTTGACGTACAATGAAAATTGAAATAGCATTTCTAAGATATTTTATACTGCAGTGGGAATCTCTGATGCGATTGTATCCAGGGGTTGCCAGTGACAATTCATTAATGAGTCATATAGTTCTTCACTTTGCTCCATGAATTGTTTGTTAACTTCATCAATATCCAACTTTGGATCTGGATCTTAAAGAAAAAGATTGTCATTTCAGTCTTTTTTCATAACTGATTTTTCGTACCACACATTCACAGTCTTGCACTTAGGTGCTTGACATCAACATTCCAATATCAACTCATGTTCTGCAGCAAGGCAGACTGCTTCCAAACATTTAACATAGATCATTTCAGCTAATGTCTGAATTTCTACTTCGTTTTGCCTAATCAATAATTGAAATGTCATGCAAAGCAGTTTCTCTAGCATTTTGATTGTGTTGCAGCAAAATCGTTCTGGTTTTAGAACCTTTTGTAGCTTTCTGCAGTTTTAACAAACAAGCTTTGAATGCATAACAAACATGAACTACCATCAGCTACTAACCAAGAGTTACAGAATGCTCTACATTCGCATTAAGAATATGACTGGAGTGCATTTCTCCAGAAATAAGAGGAGTTAGCTTACTCAATTAATTTGAACTAAACAGGTAATAAATTTACTATAATAAAACTGCAGATGCTGGAAAGAGAAGGGTCGCTGGACTTGAAATGTTGACTCTGCTTTCTCTCTATAGATGCTGGTAGACCCGAGTTTGTCCAACAATTTCTGCTTGTGGCTTTTCTGCTTGTTGGCACCCAGGGTACAGAAAGACCAACATGGAGACCAGAAATTGTCAGCTAGCTCCCTCCTCAAGATGGCTGTTGATTCCATGGAGACCTGCAGGCTTATATTTGCTAAAAATGATTTTTTTTTAAAAAAAGATAAAAGATAATGTGACTTAAAACAAGCAAGACTTAGTGTGAAACAAATTGCCATGCTGCTGGCATGGTAGTCAAGAGAGTGGACTTCAGTTCTTTGTACCAGCAGAACAATTCCATATAAGAAATAAAAATCAATGTAATACATAGATATCTACACTATAAAACACTCCCAAAGAGGCAAGTGTTCTCAAGTGTTTAAAAGGAAAGAATTTGGCTTTTTAGGTTTCTCAACTACCATGTTAATGCAGCATATCAGGATATTTCCATTTCACAAAACTAGGTTTATTTAAAAAAAGGTCCAGACCCAAAACGTCAGCTTTCCTGCTCCTCTGATGCTGCTTGGCCTGCTGTGTTCATCCAGCTCTACACCTTGTTATCTCAGATTCTCCAGCATCTGCAGTTCCTACTATCTTAGTTAATTTACTCTAGCTTTACACTAAGTAAAAGCAAAATCTTGCACGGAAGCACAAAACAATGCAAGCTCAAGGAACAGCACCACATCCTCCGATTAATTATTTGAAACTTCAGGGTTCACCAGGTCAATTTTAGATAGTCACCTCTTGCTCCCTTTTCCTTCTGCAGGTTTTGCATTTGCCTCTTGCTTTTGGACAGTAGCTAATTTATTATTCTTTTACAGGGTAAAAGCATCCCTTGCCACTTTTTGCCCATCCTCAAAAGCTCCTGAAGGTGGCAGCAAGCTGTCAAATGACCTGTTGCAGTGCAGGTGAGTTCCAGGGTTTTGATCAAATGACAATAAAGGAACAGCGATTTAGTTCCAAAACAGGGTAGTGTAGGGTTTGGAAAACTTTAAGTGATGTTCCCAAAAACCTACCCCATCCTTTTACATGTTGATCAGATTCTGAAGGTGCTATTTAAAGAAACCTTAGTGAGTTGCTACAGACCATCTTTTGGTTGACATGCTGATGCCTTGTTGGGAAGAGAAGACAAGAGTGTATAATGTCAAAAGGTGGTAGAAGAGTGCCAATTAAGCAGGCTGCTTTATTCTGACTGGTGTTCACTTTCTTGCATATTTTAGTGTTGTATTCAGCCAGTTAAGAGGAGAGTATTCCATTTCGCTCCTGATGTGCTCTTCACAGACAGACGGTTGAGCATGGAGTAGAATTAATCTACAGATTCTTAGTTAATTAATCCTATTTTCTGAACTGTTTTGGTAGCCACATTAGCTGGTCCAGTTGCCTTTCTGGTCAATTGAAATCTTCCCAATCCAACGCTATGGTAAGTTGGGGAATTCAGCAACAGTAATGCCATGGGCAGATGGTTAGATTCTCTCAGTTTAGCACGTGTGGCACAAACGTTATGGAGCTAAGATAATGGCAAAAAGTGTTAATGGCACTGGATGGGTAAATCAATAGGGCCAAGATAATGCTATTAGTGTGTAGGTTCATACATTCCAGCAGGTGCTGTGGTGGGTTAAAAAAACCTTGGCAAAAAAGTCTGGAATTAACAACTAGCTTCAGTAATGGTGACCGTAAAACTGTAGTTTATACAGCAACAAACAGCTGTTTCACTAATTACCTTCAGGAAAGTCTGCCTGGCATCCTTAGGGTTTAGCTTACATATGATTAACAGCAATCCAAACACCCTGGCAAACCAATAAAGTTATGGCATCACCACAAATTCAAAAAAGAAAGTCAACCAGCATCAATTTAAACACCAACACATTTACTGTGCTATTCATGTATCTAGATATTGGTTTCTTTTACCCATCCCTGTAGTCTTGTTTTGCAAAACACTTGTTCCCCCAACCACTAAGTTAACCTCTTCTCTCTCCCCATCGAGCAGAGGATGCTGGTGAGAAGTAGCCGAGGAGGATTCTGGGAGAAGTCAGCTCTGTTGCCGCAACTACGAAGCGATAATGGAGAGCACTACAGCTCAACAGGATGAAGAGCATCCGGAGGACAGTAGTGAGAAAGTACTAAAGGAAGATTCTGGAAGAATTTCTTCCTTCCTACTGGTTGGATTTAAAAGGGAGGCAAGCTCTAGTGGGAGTGGCCATTTTGGAGAGAGGCAATGAGATGGAGGTGCTGTTGTTGAGGTCAAAGCACAGGCTTTGTCAAGTGTTGGGCTTGGGTGAAAAGGGACAGCAGCATTATGCTCCAGCAAGATAAAGTCTTTATTTTTAATCCAATAGTTACTAGAGGGGTAGTATTGGCAAATCAATCAGGAAGAGTATATTCCGGAGAGATGTGGGAGATCAAGAAGTCCAATGTCCCTGACAACAATGTCTGCAGGTGTGTCCACCTCCAGATTCTTTCAGACCACATGGATCAGTTGGACGCACTGAGGAATATAAAAGGAACCAAATAACCACAGAAGGGAGCGATTAATCCCATCTTATCCATGCTGACCCCTAATTCCATTTTCCGTCACATTGGAGCTTACAGCACTTAAGGTGCTGATCCATGTACTTATTGAAAGAGAGAGAGCTTAGGGTCTCTGCCTCTAACTCAGACAGCGAACACCAGGCACCACCACCCACTGTGTAAAGATGCTTTTCCTCACATCCCCTCTAAGAAGGCTGCCACTTAGCTTTAACCTGGCCCCTAGTTTTTGAACTCTGCCAAGAGAAACTGGTTACTTCTGTCTACTCTATCTCTACACCTTACAATTTTAGGGCAGCACGCTGCCTCATAGCACCAGGAACCTGGGTTCGATTCCACCCTCGGGTGACTGTCTGTGTTGAGTTTGCATGTTCTCCCTGTGTCGAGTTTGCATGTTCTCCCTGTGTCTGCATGGGATTCCTCCAGGTGCTCCGGTTTCCTTCCACAGTCCAAAGATGTGCGAGTTAAGTGGACTGGCCATGCTAAATTGCCATAGTGTTCAGGGATGTGTAGGTTAGGTGGGTAATAGAGGGATGGGTCTGGGTGGGATGTTTGAGGGTTGATGTAGACTTGTTGGACCGAAGGACCTGTTTCCATACTGTAGGGATTCTATGAATTTTTGTACACCTCAATCATGTTACCCCTCAAAATTCTCTGTTCCAAGGAAACAACCCCAACCTCTTCAATCTCTCCTCATAGCTGCAATTCTCCAGTCTTGGCAACATTCTAGTAAGTTTTCACTGCACTCTCTTCACAGCGACTATACCCTTCCTATAATGTGATGGTCAGAACTACTAGCAATACTCCAGTTGTGGCCCTAGTTTCATCATTATATCCCTACTTTTATATTCTATGCCTCTGCCAAAGGAAAGTATTCCATAGACCTTGCTTACCTATACGGCTACCTGTGCACTTGCATTCCAAGACCTCTCACAACATGCACTAGGGAGGCCAGAAATAAAGATGATACAGTTGATGGCATGGCTAAAGACCAGGTGTGGGGGTGGGGGGAGGGATTCAGATGTTTGGACCATTGTGATCTCCTCCAGGATAGGAAGAACCTGTTCAAGTCAGGTTTGCTTGTGCCACTTGGGAAGAGTTGAAACTAGTGTGGCAGGGGAAGGGATCCAAAAGCAGTCAGTCAGCATGTGGAGTGATTGAGAAAGTACAGCTTAAGTCAGTGTAATACAAAGAACAGGCAGGGGCAGGTCAATGAACATGGCAGGACTGGCAGCCTGAAGTGTATTTATTTTAATGCAAGGAGTGTAATGGACAAGTCAGAGGACATTAACGTTTGGATTAGTACATGGAATTACAATATTTTAACCATTACAAAAACCCAGTTAAGGAAAGTGCAGGAGTGGCAGCTCAACGTTTAAGGGTTTAGATGTATCGGGCATGATACAGAGGAATGTAAAAGGGATGAGGAGTTGCACTAATGGTAATGGAAAGATAATGGGGAGATCCTGAATGAGTACTTTGTATCAGTTTTCACCAAGGAGAAGGACATGATTAATGTTGAGGTCAGGGATGAGTGTGTGAATGCTCTACAGAATGTTGAAAAAGAGGAAGGTTTGAGAATCCTAAATTGCATTAAAGGTAGACAAGTCCCGAGGACCAGATGGGATATACCCCAGGTTATTCAAAGAGGCAAGGGAGGCAATAACTAGGGCATTGGCAGATATCCTCACATCCTTGTTGACCACAGGTGAAGTTCCAGAGGACTGGAGATTAGCGAATGTTGTTCAGGAAAGGATGCAGGGATAATCCAGGAAACCTTAAACTGGTGAGCTTGATGGCTGTGGTGTGGAAGCTCTTGGAGAAGATACTGAGGGACAAGACATATGCGCCTTTGGAGGAAAATGGACCAGTTAGCAACAGGCAGCATGGTTTTGTCCAAGGAAGGTCATGTCTCACCAACCTGATCAAACT